CCTTGGTACCTGGGTGTTCCTAAACTTACTCCTTGCGTACTGAAATATTCTCCAGTGCTCTGACACACTTACCGCTACTCGCATGCCCCCCCTGCCTAATTCCGTAACCTTGTATCTATCCCCAGCCGCTAATCTTAGAACGTACCTCCGATCAGCCTAATGCAAATCTGGTTTTAGCGCCCCCCCACAACGAACTTCGACAACTCGAAGTTGATGAAGTCGTTGTCCTGGAACTCCAGATGTTTTTGTATGTAGTATACTTATACTGACAATGAGAAGAAACAGATCAAGTCAAGACTAGAAGCCCCTTATAGGTAATTTAGGGGCCTCGTCAAAAGCAAAGGATGTATACAGTAGCGTGAACCATCTTTTAGGCGCTCTCTGTAGATCCCTGCGAATGCAAGGTACGCAATGCAGGTTCGAGAATGGGAAGTAGATGCAGGGTACGAGAGAACGGAATGCAGCCATGGCTGGCTGGGACAGCCTCATGTTCGTGAAAAACCAGGGGCTGCATAATGGGGGGTGAGAATAACATCTCTATGTCTGGGCTGTTGAAGTCTCACCGGTTACTGGCTGAGAAAACTGCTGGGATAGCTGCTCAGAAGGCGGACAGGAAGTTCAGGGCCATTTGCCAACTCTCATAGCGGTCCCCACGACAGTCCTCACGACAGTCTCCACGACAGTCCTCACGACAGTCCTCACGACAGTCTCCACGACAGTCTCCACGACAGTCCTCACGACAGTCCTCACGACAGTCCTCACGACAGTCCCCACGACAGTCCCCACGACAGTCCTCACGACAGTCCTCACGACAGTCCTCACAATAACAAATCACTGTCTATAAATTCTTTTATTGTCCAGATTCAGACATGCCGGACAGAGTGTGCTATTATTGCCTTACTACAATAAAAACTCAATTCTCTAGGCATCTGCGGAAGCGCCACAATGTGGATCTGGAGACATATGGCTTACTTGAAGAATTTCTCAAGTCTGCTGATGAGTCTGCTGATAAGTCTCCTAGATACCCGGAGCCAAAGTTAGCCAAGTTGGTCAAGGGCTTAATTTATGGAACAGGCGGTCTCTCACTTCTGGAAGACGATTCCCAAGCGTGCTATTTTCTCTCTGCAAACATTTGTCGGGTTGAGGGTTTCACTGATGAGCAAATTCTGAACGATTGTCTTCACAACTTTGACAAAACCAAGTCTACAGTTTACTCTAGTGACCAGCCGCGCAGTCCACAAAAGATCGGTAATTTGGTACCCGTCCTGGCTCAGCTCAACAAGCCCAATCCGCCCTGTGTCAAATATGTAACAAATTTGGGCCCTGGGGACGGAGTAAGGAGGCCTAAGACTCTTGGAGGCGACCCCGATGACAAGAAGGAGAAAACCTACACAAACATCACACCAGAAGGCACATTTATTGATGCACATGTCGGTATGTTGATATACATCACTATGTCTTCACAGAAATGACTAAGCGGACAATAGATCAAGGTTATGAGGGAATAACATTGGTTGGGCTGGGTTGTGTGAAACTCTGGATGATGTTTCCTCCAACTGAACACAATCTGACCATTTGGGGTGAATGTCGAGATTTGAAGGAGATTTTAGCAAGCTCCTGGGATCGTCTGGAGGGAGGCAAGGTTGCTGTCCAGACTAGAGATGAAGCAATGATCCTCAAACCAGGCCTTCTACATTCTACATTTACCCTAAGAGGCGGGTTGGTTTTCGGGATAACATATATAACCCAGAGTTGCCTCACAGTCACGCCCAGGCTCTTAAGGATAGAGAACGCCCATTTCAAAAAGGTTGGGGAGGACGACTGGTCTCCCTTCCTCGAGAGTGTTTACATCTGTATGAGTCCAGACAGTGGCAGACGGGACGAGGCATTGAGAGTTCTATGCGAAATGCCAAAGACACAAGCCATGAAGAAAAACGGTCTTCTCGATAAGATTAAGGAGGAGATAAAATCTGCTGATTGCCTTCACTGTGGCAAGCGATGGAGGAGCCACTGGGGATGAACATCAAGATATGCAATCGTGTTGTAAATTCCGTTCTGTTCCTTGGTCTAGTAGGCGAAAACAGAATCTATGGTGAATAATTTCGAATGACATCAGCCTCTTAATAATCTTGCAGGAAGCTTGGTTGCTGTTTCAATCCTTTCCCTCGGGGATGTGATCTAAGGTGCTGTTCAGCTCGAAAACAAGAAGGACTGGGAATATTATGTTTTGACTCAAAGGTCTTACTTCGGAAGAGTTTGCTTGACTCAGCATTGGAAAATTTGGTTGATTCTCAAATATACTTAGGTAGAATACCTGGTCAGGCCCATGAGACCGCCCTCCTCCCTTTTGCGTGGTAGAGTAGATAGAAAAGGAGCTACCGGCTCATAATGTTTGGGGCCTACTTCAATACTTTTACTCCCAGGGCTTCGTCGTCCTAGGGATGATGAACAAGAACACGCGTGAAAGGCAAGCGCAAAAGCGGAAGAGCACTTTAGTATTTCTAGCGGTTAAAGAACCAGGTTTCAAAACCAAAAATATGGATAGAACGGCTATACTCTATTGCCACGACTCTCTCTATGTGCATTGATGTGGTGGCCATGCGTTCGAGGCTGTCATGATTTAACTCATTGACAAGCTGAATGCTTATAAGATGGGGGTGATGGTTGAGTATGAGATATCCCGGAATCAAGGAGATGATATCTGCGCAATCCCCGCGCATGATGACACTCAATATATCTTTCTGAAGTTGAGGAACGTGTTCCATTGGTACATTGGTTTTCAGTAGACCGCTGGTTACACGGGCCATCCAGTCCAACTAATAAGAAGGATCAGCGACGGTTTGCACAACACACGCGATATGTGCTTACAAGATATCTCAGCTTGGTAGAGTGGTCTTGGATGGGGTCATAGTTGATGGCGTCGTCGTAAATACCAAAAGAAGTGTCATCGTCATCAGGAACATCGAAGTCGGTAATGTAACCGTCAGGAATATCATCGTCGGTTATGGGACCGTCAGTAGAATCACAATCGGTAGAATTGTCAACGCGGAACAAGTCATCGTTAATGACATTGCATTCGTCGTTGGACGACATTGGGTGGACGGCAGACATTGCAGCTAAGATGAGTAAAGAGAGGTAAATGACTAGGAATAAACGGAGTGCTAAGTTCTTAGTGGCGATGTTGGCTTGCATATCTGTATGACTTAACCGCTCGTTCTTATATACTCAGTAAAGAGACATGCGCGGAACTGTGGCAATCAAGCTCCACATTTCCAACAATATGGACTGGCTTCAAGGGGAAATTGTACTCGAAATCAGTGTGATTCGATTCATACTTTCTGCTTCGTAAGACGCCGTCCACACTTTGGTGCCTGTGTGCCGTGGTGGACCAGTGAGTGATGGACGTCCTCTAACGCTGAAAAGGTTAGCGGCCACTTCCGATTACTGTGTGCATATGGACACAATTAGCACTGTATACATGACCACCTCGACCCAACCCCGCGACGCTAACAGCCCGGTGCGACATCCTTATTCCACATCACCGTTTACGAGACAGTGGACACAGACAGGGAAAGCCCCTGTCGTGGCGGCTAGATCTGAGATGGTGTGCAAGGCACGGAACACAATGTGCACATCCGACACTTAGTGGGCACCTTGCCGCACAGAAAAAGCGCGCAGGGATCAAACGGCTGCATGGCGTGGGGGAAGCATGATGCGATCGTACTGTATATCATTGGTGCAGGAAAGAGTAGTGAAAAGGATCTGCTCAGCGCGCCTCTGTATTGGGAGTGAGAGAGTAGACAATCTCTACAGGGGAGGGAGAATCTTGACCCATCGGGACTCGTGCATAATTATGCAGGGGAACATGATGCCACCAGCATCGATCGTTGTACCACCTACGTCGGTTTGGCAGCCACGCGAATCGATTGGATTCGATGGGATCACTGTAGGGAGATTACTCACTTCGCTCCCGAGAGTCTTTCGGCGCAGGATGCTTGCAATATGTCACATTTCGTCTCGTGTATGTATACATGAGCCCTCCGGATTGCTCAGCTATCTGGTTAAATCTCCTGCCCATAACTTATACCACCATCCATACTCTCCTACATACTCTACTTTGGCTTCTCTACATAGATTTGGGGGCTTTTCACCTGTCACTTCATCTCTAACAGCACCAAGTCTTGCCCGGTGTTCCCTTGAGCACCAACCCAGACAGCAGAAGCTATTAGCGTTGCTTTGTGAGCAAGAATACCTTGAATTTGGAAATGGCCCTTGCAGCTCAATCTTCAGACGCTCCCTACTGGGGGCGCTGGTCGCAGCAACTTCCTGGCGAATCTCCACACATGATTCCCTTTGACTCTCGAGCCACCGCTACTGGTCCTCTCCAACGACCTGTCATGACACCTTACATGGCTCAGCCACCTTACAGTTCAGGTCCGGTGAACAGCCTCACGGCACCTCACTACCAGGTTCCCAATCCCTACCAATTTGGAGGATATCAAGGCCCGCCTACGCCTCCCCACTACTCAACGCCTTTCAAAATAGAATACAATGATCGCGGACCTACGGGACATGATAATGAGCACGGCCGAATTCCCTCTTATTCTCGGGAGATGAAGTACACATATGCCGAACAGGTACCTTCTCCGGCACCAAGCCATTCGCAACCTTCGACTGCCAGGTCTTCAGGCACCAACCAATCTATGGGCTCAAAGACTATCACCTCCAACGAAACTCTCAACCCTGGCGATCAGGTCAATTTCGAAACAGAAGTGGATGAGCTGATGAAAGCCATCCAACGAAAGGCAGACCTGCAAGCCCATACAGTGCAGCAGCCACTCACTCCTGGAATGTCTCCTGCCTCCGGCACGAGTTTCGAAAGTCAAGGGACACCAGGTCCTATGGACAAGACATCTCGAAAGAGATACCGCTGTGATGGCCCCAACTGCCAGAAGAGTTTCACCCAAAAGACCCATCTCGACATTCATCGCAGGACGCACACTGGCATCAAGCCATACGTGAGTGAGAACATCCACGGTTGAGTGCTTTCAACTAACACCTTAAGAACTGTGCCTTCCCTGGCTGCGATCTGACCTTCTCTCAACTTGGCAACCTCAAGACTCACAGACGTCGTCACACTGGCGAACGCCCCTTTGCTTGCGACAAGTGTTATCGCCACTTTGCTCAACGGGGTAACCTTCGCGCCCACCTACAGACTCACCAAGGCCTCAAGCCCTTTGTTTGCATCCTCGACGATTGCAACAAGACATTCTCACAGCTTGGAAACATGAAGGTATGTGTAAAGGGTCCTCGAAATAGGCGACGTTCTAATCAGTTGCTAGACGCACCAAAACAACTTCCACAAGAAGACACTGAAGAAGCTTACAATGAAGTTCGCCAAAATCATTGCCTCGGGTAAGGAAGTCACCGAAGCCGATCGCGAACTTTTTGAGTACTTCGCCACGCACTACAAGAACAGTAACAAAGGAATCAAGGGTAGAGGAAAGACCTGCACGGTGGCTGACCGTAAGACCAAGGCATCCCAATTTCCTCCTACCAATACCATGACAGCTGTGCCCCAATATCCCCTTCCTCAAATTGCCTCAACACCAGTGACTCCTCACGGACTCCCTGTATCGGGCAGCCTCGCTTGCTACAGTGTGACTCGAGGCCACCCCGCTCCTATCAACCACATGTCTCGCCAGACTCACAATGGTGGCTATGAGGTTTATGACATGCATGGTCATCACCACATCCAGCCACCGAACAACAACGGCATGCTATATGAGACTGGTAGCACGCGTGAAATGGTCTACCACGGGCGCATCTACTGGGAATCCGTCAGCAGATCTCAGGAAAAACCGTGACACAGGGGTATAAGTCGACAGTGCTATACATGTCGTTCCAAGGGGCCAACAACAGCATTTTCACATACAGGGCAACAGTGCGGGTTTCTTTTTTGGAGGAGGAACATCCGCCATGATGATTTCACAGCAATGGAAAGGAGGGTCTATTTCTGAAAGATAGTGAAGCAATCTGATTGCTCGAATGGCTGTGCTTCGCGTTCGCACAAGCTTGCTACGTGGAATTTCCAGTTTTCTTGCAAATAATTACAACTCGTTGATATATTATTAATCTGTATACAAATGAACTTGATCCCTTGTCGTAGTTCTTGCATGACAGTCTACAGGAGCCAGTCTTGTCGCTCACGCCTGTGCGACGTCGGAGGGCCAGAAAGAGGGTCTTTTCGCTGGCCACATCTCGCTTATTCTCAGTATTGCTTCCAATGTGCAAGGCTAGTGTAGTCCAGACTCCAATCTTCTTTTCAAGATTGCGGTGATGCATTCTAATTAATGAGTCAAGGAGGATGGCAGCCTCTGGCAAGCTAAGATGGCAGTGCATATCGTTCACTACCCAGACGAGCAACGGAAGCATTTATATCCATAAGTAAGCAGGTGTTGAGGCAAGAGTGATTCATTTTAGAAAACCCCACCCAAGGTTGGCCATTGTCAGCAAAAGCGTACTACCAGGAGCTTATGACAGATCGACAAGCGCTTGAGTCTACTTCAGAAGCTCTTCGCTAGGATCCAAAAGTGCTGTCCTGTGCTCGGAAAGAGCTTTCGGGTCAATTTGGGCACTACTCCATTGATTGGTACACATGTACTACGTTGTGCTGTTTGAGGACGGAAATCAGTCATCGTTCAGATATAAGGTGAGGTTAATGGCCAGCTCAGCCTGACCGATAACTTGAAGTTCAAGGGCAGTGCTCTTCGCGATTTGTATACAGAGCCCATGGTAATATCACACGATATTTGGAGTCGCCCTCGACGTAGTTTCACTAAGGAGTTGCTGGTCATCGAATGTAGAATTCCAAGATCTTTGGCAATGAGATCTCTATCGGTCGTGCTGAAATTCGCAAAATCAATTTTGCAGGCTCGCTAACGTTCCCTATTCTCCCAGGAGCGAGGCTTAGGCAGAGGACCTGTGTTAGCCAGCATTAGAGCCTTCCTCCCCTCAAGACGGGGGGCTCAACCCAGGCTACCCTTTTAACAGTTTTTTGAGGCCCAGAACTCTGAAAGGTAGAAGGATCTCCAATTTAAGAGGCGGCGAATTTTAGGTCTTTGCCTAAACGCTGATGAGCTGCTTCTCGCGATGCTGTTATTGACCCCAAACAAAAAGACGTACGCCAGCGAAAAATGTAACAAATAGCTAGGAGCCACCGAAATACCTCTGGACTATCGCGTCCAGACGCCTTGGCCTCAAGATCTCAATAAAATAATATCTACTCATGCTATACTTGTTGAACGAGCAGAGCCCCAGCTGCTGCCTGGCGATACCCTAGACTGCGACGCTACTCAGCCTCTACAAGAAATCATGGCAGCGCGTAACCATTGGCCCAGGTCGAAGGAATGGTACCGAATCGAAATTCATCCTCGCATATGGCATATGGGATTCTGGTTGCTTTCGACCCCTCCAAGGTCTAGAGCCAACCGTGAGGCTGAATTGACCAGACTTAATGACGGAAATGCCTTTCCAGTTTGGAGGCGCTGAACGCCTTACAAGGCAGTTAGTGAAGCTATTTACTAGGCGACAACGCAACTATTTCAAGCTGCGTTTTCGCTTTCCAACAGCCCATGCCTCACACGAAAGTATTAATAACCAGTCTTTTCTCTTCATATTTCCATCTCACTTTCTGTCCACCATTGAAACAATCACCAGCTCTGGCGTAATAGCACTTCCACGTCTCCTGCACGTCGTCGATCACCACCTTCCATCACAACACTGTCTGTACACTTCGAGTATCATTGCAATAACTGCACACTCACTGTAAAAGCGCATAGACAATGTCCATGTTCATGACACAACCTGCCTACGCCTACGCAGCGGCCCCTCCACCTCCCAGGCAATACTCGGGAACGAGCAGCGCTTTCAGCGCTTCTGCCAATCCTGACGAGGACTGGACTAAGATCTCAGACCTCGCTGAGCGACGAAGGATCCAGAACCGCATTGCTCAACGCAACTACCGTATGTTGAGTCTTATGGACTCTGAACTCATTCTGTGGTATTGGCTGTTTACGAAACTTACATTTCCTTTCAGGCAAGAAGCTGAAGCGCCGTCTTGAAGACCTTGAGCGCCGTGCCGGTTCTTCTGACGATGCCGAGTCCGAGCAGCCACAGAAGCCTACCAAGTCGAAGCGATCTCCCTCCGCACCCAAGTCTCAAAATTCGCAATACGGATCTTCCAGCAAGTCTGTTCCTTCACAGGGCCAGTTCACTCCTCCCTTGGAGCCTTCTGACGAGCTTTTATTCCCCGGTACCCACGATGACCGAGCTCGCTCAGACAGCCCTCCTCAGTTCACATACTCAACGTACCCTGCTCCCGATGAGATACTCCTCGCGCCCTACAGTTCCACTCAGTCATACCCAGCCATCATAACCGCTGATGCCTACCCTAACTACATGACAGCGTTTACAGTGCCCATGACACTTCCTTCCATGACACACTTTAGCGATGCCATCAAGCGGGAGACGTACCCCAGTGACGATGAGCTCACTCCTTACAAGATATAAGGTTGCATGCGCTCAATGGACTTCAACTCTAGTAGCCATTACGAGCAGCCAAACTCTTAAGGGAGTCGCGCCAGTCAAACACCTCGTAGGGTTGTACGATAATATTTAGCAAGGACTGCTGTCAACCCAGGCTGACTGGTATCTTATTCTTCTCAAGACCTGTCCTGTTCATAGGTTCCCATTTGTGTCTACATTAGGGAGATAATGCATTGAATTTTCTTGCACGACACTGCGCTGCCGATATCACTCGGCAAGGTATGCGCTAACGGAATGGGTTGCAGGATACATTGTAAGAAAGGTCACCCCTTGGATACATAGTTACATATATTGAATTCACTTCTGTGAACCGTTATTCTGTCTACTATTATCCTTTTCTTTCCTGTCGCAGTGCAGTCATTTGACGGCACTGGGGTCTTCCTGTTGGCCGGAACTCGATGACGGAAACTCGACCCTTGGCACTGCTTGCCGAATTATGTGGCTATGCCGTACCTCTAATTTGCGTGGACAGCGTTTTTGTTTGTGAGATAGCAAATGCGTAGCAATAGAAAGGGTTTCATCGGGTTTAACCCTTGAGTGGCGTCTTAAACGGTACGAATAGAAATCTATACTTGGTTATCTCGTTATGCGTTAGAACATTTCTCTCGCAATTCCACTCATGTCGCGGAGAAAACTAGGTTGACATGAGTCCAGTACCCAACAGCCATCCTAGCCTCCAAACTTTGATGAAAGGAACTGACAAAGACTCCTTGATAACAAGACCGTCATGGGGATGGCCTAAAAGAGGACCCTTGTCGTGAACAATGGAAGCAATCAACTAGTCCAAGTCATCGGAGCTGATGTAGCGTTCGCGCTTGCTTCGGGTGCTGGCGTAAGAAGCTTGACGTTGTAGACAAGGACGGGCCATCTCAAGTGGTGCTGATTGTGAAGCAAGTCAATATTCTCAAAGTCTAAAAAAGACCTCGCACTGCCAGAACGTTGAGGCAAATCAATTAAGCTTCACGTGAAAGCGATGTTCTGGAACAGAGTCTGCGTAGTAGGGGCGGTTTTGCCTCATTGTTGACAACAACGGTCTCTCTTGTCCCGGCTTGCCAGCTAGGTTTGTCATGTCTTCCGTAGCCAACAGAGTCTGCGCCTCGAGAAAAGAGTGGCTGGTTAGTATATGAGAAATTACCGTCATATTGCCAAGATGGTCGAGATCAGATGGAGTATCGGAGCGCTTCACGTTCACCTCATCATGAATAAAGAAGCCTTCTGCAAACAGAAAGCCTCAAGGCCTTTTTCTTACGAGAACCCGCAATGCGTCGCTTCCAGTTCTTTTGCGGAGAGAGCTACAGCCCCCACAACAGTAGCCAGTAGCCTATCGGAAGTCGATCCCGATTCTTTCGTCTTATACTGGCAGAAGGCTAAAACGTCGCATGCATCCGTACCCTGCATTTGACGCTAACGTAACGTGACCATCACCGAATCGGGGTAGCTCATTCTGATGGGTAAACTGCATCTTTAGCGGCAAGAGGCAGACAATCAATGTCTTCATTTACTTCAACTGGGTACTCTGCCATCAGATCATATCATGACGCCAGCCGAGGTTTCTGTTCCTCCCCTGTCTTGCACATGCTATATTGAAACCAAGGCACGCTCTTGAGACCTATTCTGTGAGAAGTGAGTGATGATGTTTTCATCAGGCAGGATGGAAAACTGACATCCATTACACGAGGCGGATCAGACTAACAAAGGCCCAAGGCTCAGCATGCAGCGCCACTGCGTCATGGAGATACAGATGTGTTGTCGGCCCATTTTATGGTTTCCCGGAGGTAGACGGTTTCATGAAGTTGGAACTACAGATCCCCGCACAGGACGCAGGGGGGTTGAAAGATGACAACGGAAGGGTCTGGACTAACCTAGGCGGGCGCATGGTCTGAGTCGATCTGTTATGAGTGATCGACCCGGGCCTGTACCCCTGTATTCCCGTTTCAGTCGCTGGTAGCGGGTAGTCGTCAGCTTTAGCAGCCAGGTTCTTCGATAGCGCGTGTCCGGGATGAATTTAAGCGAGCTCATTGTGATTAAATCGGATCTAATGCAGCATCCAGGGGCCGATGGCAGGGAAACAGGGGTTAGTACAGCTGAGAGATAAATTGAAGCCTGGCAGTATCGGTGTTCACTCCTTAGCTTAGCTCCTCCTGTTATATAGTTGTAGGTTATCCTACATGTGTTGCCGCCCAAACTACTATGACAATCAGTGGACGCTTATCACTACCATCCGCCTCTGCATCCAAGGTCATCGTTTAACCGTCTTTCCATTCATATTACCTTGATTTTCTATTCCATTCTCAATCATCCCCTACTGAGCTCTGTTCCTACACGACAAAAGCCTTGAGACCTACAAGCTCTTTGTGAAAATGGTCACAAGGGAAGATGACTGGGACTCTCCCTCAGAGGGGGAGCGAAAGTCTGTTTGGGATGAGGCAGAACGCAAGTTCATGGTTAATCTCCGCAGCGAGGAGGATGCCGAAAATAAAAAGATCGAGAAGGATTTCCAGCTTATGAATTGCGAAGTCAGGCTGAAACTCAGTGAGCGTAAAGAACAACAAAGTCAACTAAAAGAGCTCCGATTCCGACTAGCAACGGAGCACGCCCAAGCTGAGGCTGCATTGAAGCACATCACGAACGAGTGCAAGGAGACGGCCAGCCGACTTGAGCGCATCGAGCAGGACTACCACTCGTCATGCCAGAAGACAGCAAAAACTTTCCATGATAAAAGGTCCAAAATGCGTCGATTCTTTAGGCAAAAGAGAGGAGAGAACCCCGATACCCCAGACCATCTCGGGCCCGAATCAGAAGGCATCATTCTCCCAGAAATGTTGCCAGAGGTCTCCTCAGGCTTCAATGGAACGACCCCACAAGTAGAGCCTACTGATGGAACTGCAATGGTAGCGGAGAGACCTGAAGAAGAAGAAGAAGACGAGGAGGAGGAGAATCGTATGGAATGCGTTGAGCACCACGATAACAGGGGAGTCAAAAGCCTCGTTGATATTGTTGATGCTGATGGCAAAGTGATTGGACCCGTGGAACAAATAGAGCCTTGGAACAAATGGATTGAGGATATCCAAAAATTGGAGATACGAAGACCTGTCAAGGTCCGCCGAGGACGACGCTTCAACACTACACAGCTTGCAGACATTCACAAGCGAACTGAGGCGAGGGGGGTCAAATGGCTCTCTTGTATGATTCAAGCGACAGGGGCGATACAGGCCAAGAGATGCCTGTCTTGTGACAAGAGCCAAGGCACCTTTGACGACTGCGTCATTGTCGGTGGGTATCTCTTTCCGAAATGTGGTAATTGTGAATGGAATCGCCGGGGTTGCCATGGTTCCTCAGGGGACACCATCGACACACAGGCCTCGAGGGAGAGGGCACAACGGAAGAAACAGCTGGAGGATGGAGCCCAAGAGACTTCTGCAGACCGATCCTCAGAGCCAGTACATCAACCTGCACCACAGACTGAGCGTCAAGCAACACGGACCACTGCGCCACAGCAAGAACGGCGCCCTGAACGCCAACCCGAGAAAGTTCCAGATCGACCTAACGAACTGTTCAATGATGTGATTGTTGCGAAAGCCCCAGAACGAACTGCCGAGGTCGCAACAATTCAAATCACTGAACATCCTCATGAAATGTCCCACAGATCAGCTTCTAGATCTCCCACTGGACCTCCAAGCCGGTCGGCCACGGCTCTGAGGTCAGATTATGCCCCGGAACGAATGATTGACCCCGCGGACTCGCCCTTACCGACACCGATAGATCCTCAAACCAGGCCCCTGGAAACACCAAATTCTGTGCTTCCCTTAGGCGGTCTGCGCCACCCTCATGAAGCTTTCCATCTATTAACAGAGCTCGATGGCCCTGCTAGAGACTGTCGCGGTTCTGATCTAGCTCACATATCGCGAGAGCTTGAGAAAACACACACTCCACAGGGGTACCGCGTGGCTGCTGGTTTTACGCCGGCCAATGTGAGAGGTCGGCCTCCATCCAGCGATCGTGGAAGACCAACTCCACCATCTCTTTCCATGGACCCTTCATCGCAGCCACCTGAATCTCCTCCTGCCCAAGCACTGGAAGAGATTACCCGAGAGAACATGGTCCTCAAGAACGACGGAAATGTTTACACCTATCCTGAATGCGTCGCTGGGGTGCCATTGGTCAAGATCAATGAGGAACACCCCTATTGGGAGCCCAGCTGGCCTAACGTCAAGACACTCATTGAACCACAGCTTGCTCGATGGCGTGAGAAACACCAACCTGCCATTGAAGCAGGTCCCAAAACAGTTCAGAAGCGTACAACTGACCACAAGATAAATTGCGGCAATAAGATTCTCAAATTTCACGAGGAAGGTACAATCAGTCCCCATCAATTATTGGGTAAAAAATACATTCAGGGCGGCATAACTTCATTCCAAGCGCTATTTCGCCTTTCAGAGACAATATCGGAACTTGAAAAGTTCAATCTGGGCATATCGCCAGCTGACTGGATGCGACAGCGACTTCACGAACTAATTCAAACGCAAAGACACAACTTCAACCTGCGGCGAACAATTCAACATTTCTATAATGACTCCAAGCTCACCAGTCTTCGGTACAAGCATGGATTCAAGAACATTGGACGTCCTTCAGAAGCCATGAAGGCGCACTTGAGTCACGGCAGCCCTAGCGATACACCCGAACCTCTCCGAAAGCGGAAGTCTATGCACTCTGTTCCTACTACGCCCCGGGAGGATTCATTCATCAACCACTCTCCTCTTCCTAGCCAGGCACCACCAAGCTACCCAGCGCCAGCACCAGCGCCGGTCCCCACCCCTGGGCCCCAGCCAGCATTCAGCACCCACATCAACAAGAAGCCGAAATTCATGCCGCCTACACATGGAAGCCCCGTACATGACGAATTTCACTTCGAGGCTTGGTCCGACACAGATTCATGCAGCGGAGGTAGCATCACGAAGTACGATTGGCGGCTTGCTGTAGTCAAGACTCGGTTGTATACCAGCCATATCAATGTCACTCAGTATTGGACCTGGGATGAGCAGATACAATGTTTCCAACACCAAGTACTCAAAGACGTCAAGCCTGCAAATGGGGCTTGTTTAGGGACGAGATCGATTTCCACGTCAACCTCGCAGAGATTGAGGAGATGGAATGGAGTATCGAAGCACTTCGTGTTCACATCATTATGAAAAAGGATGCCGGAGAGCTTGCTACGGATGGCAAGCCTCGAGGAGATGTCATGGCGTCCTTTCCAAGAGCACGTACAATGCGCCGCTTCCTGTTCTTCTGTAGAGAAAGGGGTATGAAAATGGCTAAGAGGGCCCCGTAAGTGTAACACTTGAGAACAATTGTGACAAAGTTGGGAACTGACCTGGATAATAGTGAGCAACTCAATAATACGTGGGATTCCATGGTTTCTGAACAATTGCCCTGTCGAGGCGATTCCAATCAACAGCTGGTGGAGTAAGCTTCGTCAACAGCTAGCGAGCCTTTCGGTGAAGATGGCCTGTTCTGGATGCCTAGTTTTATTCATGATGCAATTTCTTACAGTTCTTTGCCAATCTTTTTTCCTGGTGGTAGTCAGAGAAATAAAGTGCCCTTGAATAAACGTAGCTTAGTGTGTTTGATGAAAATTTAATACATTGGTGGTTGACCATGATCTGGGCATAATATCGCTGCCTAATGAGGAATGAGAAGACTCTAATGTCTGCAGCGCCAACATTCACGCTTTTCGGGGAGTGCCTGGTGCTTTTTGGTCATATCTATGAGTAAAGTCCTTTCGTAATTCACTTTGGCTACCTTAAACTCCGAACCCAGTATGCTTTTGCCTTGAAGCTAGCTAAAACCACATGACCTCGCTAGGCGCTACTCTATGTGAATGGGTATTTATGAACTTTGTGAACTTATATTATCATGAACTTCCGCGTAATTAAAGCTGTCAAAGTCAGTTGGAGTTTCGCTTTTCATGCCTTTGAAGCTATTGAAAACGGCTGTGGCTAGCAGAGAGCTCTCTGATTGATCAGGATACATTTTGGCCTTAGTCATGGCCACGCTGATAACTTCTCAATACGCCCCGCCGTCATCATTCAATCCAAACTCAAACACACGATTGCCATCATCTCAGCGTAGAGCATCGCTTTATCATGGACGTGCGCTCCAAGCATGGACGAAGCGCGCAGGCGTATCAATTGCTATTCGAAGTTGACCTAGCTGGTCCGAGATGGCCTCAGGAGAGGTCTCGACGCACAGCAGAGCAACTTATGCCACCTTTAAGCGCCGATAACACTATTAGGCGAGAGATTTTCATAACCCATTCAGAAGGTCACATGCGGGTATGAGCATTAGGTTGCAGCGCTATACGCGAGTCGCATCTTTTCCAACATGCTGAAGTTGCAGGAAATACATCACGATAAATTTGATGGGGCTCGTTCCACAGGGACTCCCAGGGATCTTTCAGCTTTGCAAATCACGAAGAAACCCACCATTTTGGATGGCGCAAGTCTTGTGTCTTCAACTGATGCTCCTCAAATTGACGATGCCCTAGCCCGTGGGGCAACCTGTTGGTTCTATCAGCTGCATTCCGGAATCCAACCATTTACATCTGCGTGGATGAGGAACTACTCCAAACGCTCTTCCACAAGACGATACAGTTTTTGCGACAGTCAGCTACGACAATGAGTGCACTGCGAACTGATATGCACGTCCTTGAAGGCCTACAGAGAGATCTTTTCAGCTACGATCCGAGGACCAACTCCAGCTTCTCGAGCCGCACGAGCTCACCTGGCTACCGTACTCGAGGACCTGTTCCCATGGCCGCGCCGCCTCAGATACCGCATCAGATGGACGATGAAGGATACCCACGATCTATGTCCCATCACTTACAGATGAACTCATCGCACCGGCTGTGGTAGGGTCGAAAATATCTCCTATCATACTTGGAGATCAGTCTGGTGGACTGATTACATCATCATCATGACATTGCGGTTTGGAAATGATCTACTAGATTACGAAAGAGTGCCATTGCACAAAATGAAGGACTTCTTCTGTTTCAACCAAATTTGGAACACACCAGGGGTCACCGAATGGCACTTGTTACTTTTCTTCTTTTATTACTCTATTTAGAATCAGGGCTGAATCTCTGTTCTCTATTCAGATAACATGCCCGCCTCCAGAAAATGGACAGCCGTCTATCCAATTACATGATCTTCACACGTGTCCGTCATGTCGGCCCCAACCCCCAAAGCATGACACGAGCGTACAGCAATATACAATGAACTCATAACCAGTCCGTGCCCAGATGCCATACACTGACTTGGCCGAGGAGTCTTCGGCACAGTCTCAAGCAGACTGTGTGCAAGGTCGGCATAGATGCAGCTTGCAATATGTGCATTCCCAGATCATCCAGTGAGGCCCAGAGCAGCAGTGTTGACAAATCCACTGTACCAGAGTATTATCAGATTTAATCATCCGAAACTGATGGGCACAAGCGTTGGCCATATTTTCCGCAGATGCAGTAGCTTGTGCGTCTCGTGAGGAAGGCTTATAGAACTGAGTAGAGAACACTTGGTAATATGGAGTAGGTTGAACGGCCAAGTATCGTCTGGTGTCTTCGTAGGACTGTAACAAGATTAGCTTTGAGCACAGAACGTAAGTCAGCAAACGCACATAAGCGATTGCAGGTGTCAAAACGGCAGTGGCTGTGTGTAAGGTGTTACTGAAAATACTTCGATGTTGTATGGCAGTCTATGATACTCCAAAACTGAAGTCAGAAATCATGAGATCTTGAACGGATGGATCGTTTGAGATGAAACCGGGGTATCAGGGTAATAATAAAAGCTACGAACCCGCATACTTGGGGCATTCGGAATATTGTATAGATATAGAAACGAGAGAAGATTCGGAACGAGACTGACCCTCTAAGGTTGTTGTTTCCAGGCGGTGTCGGAATATGAGGGAATGCCATGGACTGTGAATTAGAATGGCTAGGAGCAATGATCGAGCAAAAGGCGGTGAAATCGGAAAGGGGTGTGGATGCCGGATGAGGTGCCACGGAAAGGAAACGAGGAAAGTAAGAGAACAAGCATCTCGGGACAAGGAGTAGGGCAAAAGCAATGCGAGGTAGCATTAGACCATGGATGCTTGGATGAATGCCAGGACAAGGCTAGTGCTGATGTATACGTTTGGCCTTTGCAACGAACAGTTGGGAGTCTGGGAACCTTGACTGATGTGCCAGCCAAGAAGAGCGATACAGTCATCTCCCATCAAAGCTGGACTTGTGTTACCAAAGATACTAGGTAATTGGCTAGTCCCAACATATCCAGAAGCAGCATCCCACAATTGCCTACAATATTGCTCGATCTCCTGGGTCCCCCTTGTCAGTGATACTCTTTGTAGTCTTCCAATTCTCACTGGTGCCTGACTGGCAATTGCCAGAGCCACGGAGGGAGTCTTTGGGGGGAAGATTATCTACATTGCTGTCGAGTTGTGACATTTCTCCATAAGGAGAATTATGTTCAACTGCCAAGGCCCTTGAACCTCCAAAGCTTCCACGTTATGCCACACAAGGGAGTGCTGGTTTCCGCTCCTGCATCTTCATGTGAAGCGTGATTGTTGTTCCTGCCCATTGTGGTGGCATATCAGTACCCTCCACCAACTTCCGTCATCTCAGTACACCCACTTACACGATTTGAAAGAACGGTATGTCGGGGCTCCACACTTCAGGGGATGCTGCATCGTGCATTGTGGATGCAGCGGCCAATTGACCCGTGCATGTGAATGTTGTCACGATTGTCAACAGTGGCGCTTCGATCCATCTCTTTCGAGATGTAGGAAAGTCCATCGGGGAAGCGGTCGACCCATCCGTCGCCGCTGGGTGGTTCCTCAGCCGGGATCACCGACCGATCTTTCGACTGATGACCGGATCAGGGTAGAACGACGTCAATTCCGTCCCTGTTAGTGGCTTTACTGTGTCCCGTACTCAACCCCACCTACCCTTTTAGGTGTTTGTAGATACCCCGCATTCACACGTAACTGCGCGAGCGACAGAACTCAGTGCAACCAGTGATAGGATGCTCATTTGTCACTTCATCACATTCTGATTGCCGCCCCAAAGTAATGAAGCCAAGCAAGCGTTACCCCAACTACCCAATTTGAAGAGGTAGAGATACATAGAAGAAGTTGTAGCCGACCCTGCCAATTCTCTCCCATGCTTACCCTCCACCAGCAAAATGCAACTGATGCTATGAGATAAGCTTATGAGGGAAGGCGCTTCGATGACTCTGTTCGGGGAAGCATCAATCCGTCAAGAGTGCAACCTGGCCTCGTTGCTTTACGTTTCTTGGCATTTCTGAAGACAACTTCACTGAGGTCGGTAGAGGAGGTGTGGATTACCTAGATGCATAGTTTGGCTGATCTTGTCATGCATCAAACGGTGTTCCTGCAGTTTGACTCGTGTCACAAATGACTTTGGAGGGGTCAATGACGTGGTCTGGACCCCGCTGTTTTTGTGCAGTGAACAATGAAGAAGCGAAGACGTAGCGCCCGGCGGGGTTAGTGCAGCGCATCAACTGGCGGTCCATGCTGTAAACGCTTCTGCAAGGAACCACGCATGATACCATTACTCGTCTGCTAGCAGGGCACGATGCACACAAACAGCGCGAGACAATGTAACCAGGCGTGGCCCTAAGACGCCCTCTTCAGATTGGCTTTATTGATAACTAAACGTGGTATTCGTGTTTGCGGGGCTGGCTGGTGGATCCAGAGCTGGAGGCCAAATTCATGAAGTCCAATACGTGACATTTCCAAGCATCATTGCTAGCATTGTCTACCCCCATAGGTGAGGTGCCAGGCCTTCTTCTGTGACCGCTTGAGTAACGAATGAGATCCTAAATAGAAAAAGCCTAGCGATATCTCCTTCGAGCCTCTCCTGTATAGACATGGCATGGTGTGTAGGCGATTGAACACGTAGGAGCGAGGCTGCATTGTTGGTCTTGCAGACCAACAAGTTGAAAGTAAGGCGATCATATGGTAGCCTGCGTACAGTCAGCGCTGGTCCTTGAAGTCCTTGAGTAACACTTTCTAGACTGATACGCAGTCCTCGGTCACCCCTTTCCAAACGTTTATATATCATGATCAAGCTCGCTACTGAGGCTGTCACTTTCTTTGGCGATTCGACAACATTGGTATATGGGCAAACTATCTCCCAGCTGATTTGTCCGTTTTCAAATTTACTGCTGCCCAGACTACTTCAAACGATACCGCTGTGCTTTTTATTCAACTAATCCCGGTCGTCGAAACTGGCTGCCTTACAGTCACCAACATTACGGACCACCCATCAGCTTAGAACAGCATGGACGATTCGAATCGTATGAGTAGGCAGAATGAACCGCCGGTCCATTCGAACCCCAATCAGAGATACTCACTCAACGATCCGTCACAACAGCGCTGTTCGCTCGCTGGAATTTCCAACGACAGATATCGCCCTGCATCCCTTGCTGGCCCTTCATCGTCAGCTCGAGGTATGGGAGCTCTGGGTAACTACAGTAACTACTATTCAGAACCTAGTGCATCATCCTCGACGGAAAATATGCCTGGCACAGCTATAGCTTATAGCCCTGAGTACGGTCACGACTGCCGCCAAACACAAGGTTTGGGCGGCTACAGCACCGCAACTACAGCGATGTATAACGTTGGCCAACCGAGTACGCAAAACACGGTTGACTATGCGCAGCAATTCAGTTCGCGGCAACCTGTAGCTATGCAAATGATGCCACCAGACGTCGCCTCGAGCTACTTTGGGTCCGAGGCTGGGGCTTCAACTGGCCCGAGTCTACAGCAACCGGCGCAGGGCTCAAGAGGATCCACGAATGTTTATCAGCAAAGCAATGTCATGAATTATGCGAGCAACAGCATGTCCAGTGTGAGCGCAATGCCACAGGCAACAAACACCGCCGATGCTTCAATGACAGACGACCACGACTATGCCGAAGGCGCCCTCGAAGAGAAATGGGTCAGCTACCAGAGGCAGCTAGGGAGCATATTTCAGGAGATAGTGAATGGATCTCTTGAGAGTGCATCTGAGACATTGCTTAGCGTCACTAGCTGGCTCTTGTCTCAGGTCGCAGATCTAGGTATGTATTACACTATCTATGGAACCGAGGAGGGGACCATAAGAAAGCCAGAGCTAACTACTGTGCGTGCCCAGGTCTTAGTCTTGACGATACAAACCTTCATGCTGATCGTGTTCAGCTATGGAAACACTTCAACCACGCTTGGCTAGGATTGGGCCAGCGCCAAATTGACTTAATGACTTCATCCCAACAGCTTTCGACGACGCAAAGTCTGGTCTCAAAGGCCATGATTAAAAAGATGGGAAACGAACTAATAAGGCTGTGTGACGGTATAGAGCGCCATGGCCTAGTGGACTATCAATATGGAGTATGGGAGGATCAAATAACTGCTGGTGAGCAACTGCAGTCCCGCCCTGAGTCTGGTTGGATTGGCTAACATGTGCATGCAGTTCTCGAAGACTGTCTGGACTTATACGATGCTTCAGAAGAAGGCAGTGACAGCGGCAACCGGTGAAAATTATAGCCTCGATACGCTTTCAAGATGCGAATGGTGGAGTATATCCAGGCCAGTGTATCTACCAAGACTCGAGCGGCAATGCTGGTGAATCTATATACGTTCTCGGATCACACCATGTAGAACTAATACACGCCATAGCTAGCCATCTTGTAGGCTGATACATGCGGCTCAGGAACGGGGCCCATCACTGGGTATTAGAGGGGTACCTGGCTGCTGAAGGAGTCATAGGATAAGAATCTAGCTGCCACGATAAGTCATCCATCAAGATGTTTAGCAACGTGAAGATGGCTGCGGAAACCTTGCGCGTCATGACATGGTCGGCTGGCAGTCCGAGGAAGGGGCTTGAATTAAAGTAGCTTTGAACCGTTTTTTCAGACATTTCGAAGCGTCTCATAACTCAAGCAGGTGATGTCAAGGGGCACGTGTGAGTGGTCATGGTAGCAGGGCGATTTTAGTGCTACCGCAACCAATTGTACTATGAAGACACCTTATCCCACGTTCTCCCGCCTGGTCTCAATGTTGCCCAAGTCATAGAAAAGCACCAAAGTATCCGATGTCACATCAATGGGTCCGGGACCACGTCCTCTCCCCTACCCTGTAGCATCGAGCGTTAGCAGGCCACTGACCACTAGGGTGGCTTTCCCATGCTAATTAGTGTAATAAAAAGTATGCCACAATGTAACTCCGGGCTTCAGCAACCCTTTTCTCTTCAATTCTACTCGCGATTTCCCCACGACCACGACACTCAAGCCAATTTTCCAGTACATGGTCATTCGACGGTTCAATTTTTTCTGAAAGATCTCTATCTGTATTAAAAAGACTGTTCATAAGTCAATCGATCTTAGCAGATATCACAGCTGCAAACGATGTCAACTATACAAAGCCAGAATTCCCCGGCCACTTTGCTATGGGATCACCAAGACTTGATTCCCCTTCAAAAAAGTCTAGGTGATGAAGATTTAGTCTTGCTGCTAACACCCGCTGTTGTCCCTTTAGACCAGAGTCATGCCAATGCAAGTGACCCTTTCGAGCCTCTCGGCAAAGCACTTGCACGCACACATCCATGGATCCGGCATGTTCCTTATACTAAGGAGCTTGGCATTACCGGTATTCATGTGGCATTCATCAACACAGCACGGGTCATCATCTTCGTGCTGACTGGCTTCTCGACAGAGGAAGGTTTATTTCAGCTTCAACTCGCCGAGGTTGCTCGCGGAGTGTGTGAAGAACGCCCTTTAGTGCTTGTAGCCTGCTGTGAAGTTTCGGAAAAGGGGGCCCGCCAGTATGGTTTCGCAACTATCATTCAGTGTCCTGGGTACTCTGCGGCAGACTTACAAGCCGTCGCCGTTCTTTTGACAACAGAGGCCACGCCGCCGACCGGTAACTCTCTTCCTCGGCCAACTTGGTCGCTCCTAAAATGGGACTACAGCAAAGATCTCCCAGAAACCCACTCTTTATGGGAAGCATGTTTGCCTTCCAAATTCTATCTAAATCGCTCGACTCTTGGTTCTCTCTTGAAACGCGATGGATATGCCATGCATTACATGGTCAGAGAACCCAATCAAGGGCAGGCCGTTGGATTTTGTGCAACATTCACAACATTTACGGATAGCAGCGGTGACCGACTGATTGGATCAGTAGCTGCTATCATCGTTCACAAAGACTTTCGGGGTCAAGGTGTTGGGCGCTTCCTCCACAACGAAGTCGTGCTCAAACTTGAGAAGATTCGAGGTGTTGGAATCATTCAACTTGGAAGCACATTTCCAAGGTTACTTTACGGTCTGCCCGTACCCGAAACCAATACGGAGTGGTTCGAAAAAAGAGGTTGGAACATAAAGGAATCCACACCTGGAAACGGGCGGCGGGTGCTCGACTGGCTCTTGAGATTCGCCGACCATCCAGTGCCAGATCTGGCACCCGCTGGCTTGATGTTCAGGCCATGTCAGCAAACAGATTACGAGAAGATTGTCGAGATGGCAAATAAGGAGTCGCAGAAGAGATACGGGTTTGGGTGGTCCGACCAATACGCCAAAACGATGGACAGTGGCTACATGAATGACATTGTAGTCGGGCTTGAAGGGGAGAATCTGGCTGCTGCGGCAATAACATATTTTCCCAATAATGGGAGCCCTTGCGGCGCAGATATGCCATGGCCAGCCTCAATCGGACAGAGCATCGGAGGAGTTTCGTGCATCTGCATCAAAGGTCGGCCACAACCCAACCATGTTATCTGACCTTGACTGACTGTTAGACTAGATAAAGATCCAGATATGGTCGATCGCCGTGACGAAGTGGCTACGAGACTGCTCCTAGCTTGTCGGCAGACCCTGAGTGAGAGAGGAATGGTTGGAATGTTTGTTGATGGCAGCAGATCGCACGAAAATGTGCTGCAGTCTTTAGGTCAGTACGATTCTCAGGGCTTCCGCAGCTGCCACTTGCTGACAGTGAGACTTGATAGGCTTTTGCATATGGGCAGAATACAACGAGCTCTGGCGAAAGGTGTAGGGGCTCGTGAAGAAACAAGTCGCGAAGCAGCTGAGTTAGGGCTTTTATATCACAAAGGATCAGACAGCAGTTTAGGAACGTCTATAGAGAAGGGTTCTGTTAAATTAATCGCTTTTTGTTTCGGGAACTGATCTATTGAAGCCGATGAGCACGAACAATCGAGTTGGACAAATGCACATTACAGAGCTGCGTTGCAGAGTCAATTACCATTGAGTAACTGCTGGGTACATTGGATCAATGTAAGGTATTATGTATGAGTGGTGAGTCAAACAATTCGTAACTGAATGGCCGTACACAAAACATATACCTGGGACTTGTTTCTTTGAAGAGACTATTCCCAATTGGATAGCGATCTATGGATGGAAGAGGCAACGATGAGCGTGGGTGATAACCCGGAGAGTTACCAGGGATGTTTGTTTACGCAGCGGCATTGGGTAATCGATTATGAAGCTTTCGGTCAGTCCGACCTCCCAGTCTTGGCGATTCATCTACCAACCAACAGGTCAATGAGCCAACCTTTGACCCAGTTGGCTGTTGAGCCACGGGACCTGTGTAGAGAACCCTCGGTATCGTTCCTCACGTCATTACCCTATAACTCTGACAAATCATTTATCTTTTGACCTGGCAGCCCAACGTTGACAGTCTGTCGCCTTCCAACGCAGCTTTGCCCAGACCGTCGTGGGCTAGCGCTACGGTGCCCTTTACGTCTCCAATACTCACCACTGAAACTCTTTTACCTTCCTTCGGTGATGTGCTACTTTGATCAAACGCGCTGGACGTGCGGCTACTGGCGTTGGGGCCACTTCCGTCAACAGTGCAACAAGGAATACAGGATGGGCGAGACGTGCGGCCTAAAGCTTGTCTACGAGACCAAGACCGAGAGGGCCGTGTGCAAGCTCTGCCATGACACGGAAAAGAAGCAACGTCGGTATGACAAAATGTATCGCGACGTTCAACGCTGGCAGAGGGAGGGCAACAGAAACGCGACCATAGAGCGAACGTGTGCTGAGATGCAAGAAGTACTTGGTCAAATCTATCGTTTGAGAGAGGAGCATGATCACAGACTGCAATCTCTTGACCAGGTGAGTCTAGATTTACTGCCTTTGTTTATTCACGCAGGCATTGTCTGCGACGAGGAAGACTACACGAGTTGCTAACTCATCATTGCAGTAAAGTTAGATGCTAGGAGCAAGTACCCTACACTGCCTACAGAGCTGGCATGCTCTACGGCTGAAAGATAAGCGTTGGTAGATGGACGGGCGCAGCTGAAGTGCATGTTAGAACTCATTTCTTTGTAACTTATCAGACCATCAATTTAAAGTTCGACACAGGTTAGTTTGATCAAAGAAGCACGATGTCGGACCAGGTGAACAGGCGAACCCATTCATCCAAGGATAGGCGCCTTGGCTTTACAATCACCGAATTATTGTCAACAAACTGTTACTTCTGCAAGAATCGGCCGCCTTTAGCTAGCATGCCTATTGCAAGGTGGATCAAAAGACCGCCGCGTAGTCCGGCTGTGAAGTAGATTGGGCAAGACTGCATAACGGCTCACGCCTCATGGGGCGAGCCGGATGGCCACGCTGCGCAAAGCCATGGTCCAGCAGCCGAGCCAAAACGTCCGAAACGTGGTGCATGGACTCGGCCTCCACACGTGGCTTATCGCATGGTATGCTGCGCCGGCCCTCTATTCGTGCGGTCCGGTCTTGTTTGTCCTCCAAAGACGCAGAGTTTCCCCATACGCTAGTCCCCTGATTGTGCTGTGCGCTAGCAATTGACCGTGTCTACGGTCATCCGTACCGGGGTTGACTTGCGATCCTAAAAGCCTAGGAGAACTGGCTTCCGCCCCCTGTTGGAAACGCTGATCAATTATGCGGCCAGGCGGAGGTCTGTACCTGGACTGCACGAGAGAGGCGCATTGCATATGCACAATTGACTGCCAGGGCAAAATGATACGCGCAGGTACAAGCGTTGGGTGGATTTCCGTGTTCCCTGGTCCATGTCGCGCGCAGAAAAAGAGTAGCGTGACGACGTGACGGGGGTATCCTGGTCATTATGACCCTTCAAAAATCCCTGCACCAACACGAATAAGCACAGGCGAGCGTCCCTGTTTTCGGGGAGTAACGCGGGTGGGAGATGAGACAACTCTACCGAGTAGTGGCTTAGTCTTGACAAGGGTGACCGCGCCATTCGCGAAATGTGTGCAGGACGGGGGACGGGAGACACTTGCGTTTCTCCGAGACATTTAAGAATGAACTAGCCACAGAACCATCAATGATCAATTCCTCATCCATTCTCTGCCTCTACGACCAGATTGAAGACTATTTACTGCTTGACCCAATTGTCTACGTTTCTTTCCATTCATCCGCGCCACGTTGAACTTATCTGATTTCTTTTCATCTCTCCTTGTATTCATCTTTCATCTGTCATGGCCATGGATGCGCTCAAGAATCTTGTCAACAATGTCCCAGACTGGCTACAGCGACTCGACGACCTCAGCGGCCAGATCGACCGACGTCAGGCCGAATTAGCTGCTATTGCTGCCGCAGAGGGCAAAAGTGCGGAGACAAAGTCGCTTCGCAACAAAGGCTCAACCGAGTCACTCAAGCCTAAAGATGATCCTCCAGTAGTTCACGCCGAGGCTCCAGCGAACGAGGACATCCTCGAAGATGGCGCAGGTGACAACATAGCACAGAAACCAGTCAAACCCGCGACACCTAAGGTGCATACCCCAAGCCCTGGTTCCATTCGTCAACAACAAGAGATCATTAAAGCCGCACAAGCTAGAGCACGAGCTCAGGTCAGGAAGAAGCCCAAGTCGCCATCTATGATGTCTAACGAAGACGCCCCTGCCGCTTACCGAACACGGAGCATGATTATTGTATACTATGATAGCTATGTTCAGAGCTTCTTTGACGAACTTGTGAGGTTTGTCTCATCAAGTCGGAACCTGATGCGCAAAGCCAAGATGGCCGCAAGAGTTGCCCAGATCAAGAAGCTTGCTGAGCAAGACGTATCAGAGGATGGAAACAATGACGACGCTCTCCCTTCGCTTCGGTACATGAGCAGCAGGCGATTCGGTCCTATGTCAATATCCCGACCCGGTGCCGGCGACCAACCACCAGACGTATACGATAAGCTAGATAAGGGTCTCGAGTTCGTGCAGAGCATGTGTGAGCACGGTGCTCATCAGTTCCTTCGCGATGGCGACTGCAACGACGAGATCAGTAAGGTACAGAAACGACTGACGGAGGTCCTCGAGATGGCCAAGACGGAGATGGAACGCGTAGAGCGCGAAGAGCCTGAGTTAGCAAAGGAAACAGGCGAGATGGGCAAAGTCCGGACACGGCGACCCATAAGCATGCGCCGCGACATGGCCGTTGGCCTCAAGGAAAGCAGCCCGACACCCACTAAGGAGGAGAACAAGTTGGAGCCCGCAAAGCTCGAAGCTGCCGAACCTATTACCCCAGCAGATCCCATGGCACCTATGGCTGTGGATCCAAATATCATGGAAGCGGATGAGGGTATCGACGTGGAAATGGAACTCCCCAAACTGCACTATCGATCGACCCGGGCGATGCGTAGTCGTGGACCATAGAGTGGTGTTTCCAGCTTCTTTGCTTTGAAGTTGCCTGCCGAATGTAATTTACAATTTTGAATTGACGTGTTTTCGATTATCTTTTTGACGATGGCTGAAAGTGTCTCTTAGTAACTATGCAAAGCCAGTATGAGCTATCCAGCCTCGCTCGATTTGTGGACTTTTGTAGTGATTGATGAGTCTCGCAATATGAGCCCCTCGCGACTTGTCGCCACCTCCCTGCATCTTGGTCAAAAGATCACGGCTTTTTTACTGACGTGCTTGTCCATCCCGAATCCTATAAAACTTTCGTCAGCATTAGCGCGAGTCATGGCAGGTTTGGTCGAGGGAGCTTACTTTTGCATCACCACCATGAGATTCGAATGTTACATGAGCATCTGCCTGGCCCAAAATGCCCTACCCTAGGCCCTTCGGATAAGACTCCGTATATTTCCCCTCAGTCAATCTAGCAGCACATGACTTTCCCGATGATTATTCAATGCGTATCCTCTTTAGTGGGAGTCTGAAAAGAGTCCTATGTCTAAAAATTGACACGTATAGCAAGGAGTTCTCATGACAGACGTCAATTTTCCAATATTAGCTGAGCCAGTTCACATTAGTTGCAATGTCGGCCGCCTTGTTCCAGTATAGGTTAAGCCTGAAGACCGATGTCGCTATGGGCAAAAAGAAAACAAACACGAGCAATCCAGAGGAATCTCGCTTTCTTCGCAAACCGACCATGATAAAGTACAGAAGACTTGATACGAATTCATCGAACGTAACAAGGCCTCAATCCCTTTTTGGCATTACTCTCGTTTATTGGGTAAGCAGATTATCCCAAGTGCCACGAATTGTAGCGCGAAAGGTGCATGCATCATCTCCGCTGTTTCTTCGCGCCATCAGCGTACCTCGCTCGCGTCGCGAGCCTCAACCGCCTTCACTCGGAAGCTCTTGAGCGCTGAAATCGCAGCATCTCGACCAACCCATCCCAGTTACCCTTATCGACCTGTGGAAAAGAAGCAATCGTCGAAATACGAACCGATACCCGCATGTTGACTGCCTCGACTCGCTTGCATGTATTTGCTACCAACTTTGAGCCGTGCCTCTCCTATCGAATTTCTCCTAGGAAATGAGAGACCCGACACAGGATACACAAGATCCGCGTAATATGAATCTTCCAAACCCCAAACTCACACCCGTACCCCTAGATCTCAACAACGGAACTAATACCGAAACTTCCAAAACCGCCTACGAAATTGTTCCATGTGGCGAGGACTCACTAGATCAAGCGCCGCGGCGGGAAAGGACCGCAGACGACAACCTCATGGACTGCTTTTTGCTCCGAAGCCTGAGTGCAGACACTCTGCGCGCTGCTTCTACTACGAAGACACCCTTATCTCTCGCGGCATCGGTTCGAAACGCGACATCTGATAGTTCAATAACGAATGTGCAGCTTTCCGTTCGCGATGTGTCCACAATCCGCGGTATGTTTGCGCCGAGGTATAGATACGACAATAGAGGAAGCCTATCACTGCCTTCTTCTGACAAACTCTTCCATAAGGTTGATACAACCGCAGACACGTCTGAAAACACCCCTCCATCACAGTCTCTCCCATCTTTTCGTTCAACATTCGGAGAGTTTGACAAGCTGTTCCTGACGCGTCTGTCTGATCAAGATCCGCATCATTCACCACTGGGTGATTATAGAACACTTCCCACACTCTCCCCACACACAGCGACATGTGCAAGTACACCCTCCTATCCAGTAAACACTAGTTATCCTAGTGATCCGACAGAACATAGTAGCAGCAATGCTGGTGAGACTCCGAGTACCAATTATTCCATTTCTACACCTGAAAGATCGGCTTCAATCAGCTCAAGCTCAATTCCTGACCATACGAGCAATGATGGAGTCGGGAATCCGCAGCCTCTTTCCGGCTCATATACGTGCACGGTTACTGGATGCAATACAGCGCCTTTCCAGACTCAGTATCTCCTCAACTCTCACATGAATTTACAATCATCTATACGGCCACACTATTGTCCAGTCAAAGGCTGTCCAAAAAGTGAAGGGGGCAAGGGCTTCAAAAGAATGAATGAACTGATAAGACATGGACTGGTTCACGACTCCCCACTCTACGTCTGCCCCTTTTGCCCGGATAGGAAACACAAATATCCACGCCCAGATAATCTTCAGCGGTATGTCAATTAGCCATGCCATATCGGTGCTGCAGCTAGATATACCCCCTCGACTAGAGTAATAATACTGACTGCTCCTAGACACGTCCGTGCTCATCATATAGACAAAGACAAGGACGACCCGCAACTGAGAGATGTTCTTGCTCAGAGACCAAATGGACCTAACCGTGGTCGAAGAAGACGCGGCCCGCCGGCGTAAACGACTGTTGTGGGTTGGTATACGAGCCTGGTTGGTGAGAGGGGACGCTGAGCGAGCACGATGAACGATTTACGCCAACCGAGATGTGATGAGAAGCGCTCTTGCTTTGGCATTATATGTATGAGTACTTGGCCATTTGACGGGTCGGGCGACTGAAGGCTTTTCGCATGCTGCCAAAGGTCATTGATTAAGCGTAGTGAGGATTTGAAGGGACAGGCAAGGCGTTCAAGATCTCAGATACCGGTCGGGTCAGACTTTGTTCAACATTTTATTTCCCGTACAACTTGTTCGATTCTTCGTCCATATTCCGCATGATGCGTTGTTGAGCATGTATTTATCATTTTTCTCAGTCGATACACTTCTTGAAACGCCTCGTGCTACGCAGTTGGATGTATTTGTTATTCGATATATGGACCATACATACGAGTGCTTAAACTCACTGACAGGCGCAGTGACTCTGGCTAAACATGAGACAAATTCGTCTTGGACCAACAGATGCATCTTCCAAAAATCCCATTCGTTTCTCGCTGAGGGCGCTAGCCTCTGTAACTGTACCGACCGAAAACCTCAAATAAATCCCATCGCATCAAGGCCTGCGGTGAGTGTCCCGTGTTGCCCAGCCAGTCTCTGTAACTCGAGGCTGAACGGGAACCCACTGGCCAGTTCGCGGATCCTGCTCATGGAGACCTGGCCCGAGGGGTGGACCAGTAGGAGGTCGATCTCCATCGCTCTCGATGGCGGCAGCATTTCACCGCTCGCCGAGGATGCCGCAGATGATGGCCGTGATGGTCCGCCATAATCTGGCATGGGCATTGGAGGTAGTCCACTAGGAAATGCACTCGGGTGGCCGCTCGTAGGGGACCCGTAAGGTGGTAGCGAATATTCAGGATGGTCGTCGGTTCAACGGCGTTGGGCTGGTCTTTCGTTCGATAGTCCATCTCCGTAACTCATGGACCCAGTCTCTGCATAAGAATTGCTTGTCGAAATAGTAGGACTAGAAGGTCCAGCAGCAATGCCACTTATTGACGGCGTTTGTGCGACAATGTCTCGTAAACGGTTACGGTCTTCACGGTAGAAGTCCCGCTGTTGAATCAACTCCTCGATCCGTATCTCCATGAGACGCCTTTCGTCCCGAAGCTCTTGTAGCTGTTTTGCGTTCTCTTCCTGCATGATCTTCTTCTTCCTCCTGTGCCTTGTCGAAGCCACTGCATTTCTCTGCCTCTTCTCATCTGCTTTCTTGGACGCCTGCGAAAAGTCCATATGCACAGGGATAGGGGCCTCGCTTCCCGGAAGTGTCAACATGGCTTGCTGTCCCTCGACGCCAAAAAGGGACCCTCCCATCCCATGTCTTCGCAGTGTTTCCGACCATGGCGAGGCGGACTCGCTTGGGGGCCCCGGGCTCGGGAAGGGCCGACCAGCCTGCGTGTTAGGAGAATATGAAGTTTGAGAATGTGCCAGAGGCGGTTGTGCGCGACCAGGTGCATGGCTGGAGGGGAAAGTAGAGAGAGGGCTTGTGTCCCAGGAGAGGCGAGCGGCTGTGAATGCAACCTACCATGATCCGACATCGCTGAGGGAGGACCAGTGGGTGCTCTCGTCAGAGGATGTAGATGGGGACATGGAGGTCTGGTGTCTTCCGGAGTTTTGTCTTCGAACGGTCGCTTAGCAGATGAAAAGCTGTTATCCCCTGAAGCCAGTAGTCGTGGCTCCACAGGGTTGGGTATGTTATGGACACCAAGGGCCCTTTGTGGAACCTGCTGTAATCCTTCCTTACCATTTGCTTCGTTGTCCTGGCTGCCAGCCTGTTTCGGCGGATCATAGTCTCCAAATATGTGGCTAGATGCTGATGTCTGCGAAGACACAGGCGATGCGCCCGTCGAACCTGTTGCACGCCTGGGCATCCTCTCAGGGGTTGAGCTTGGCGATCGACTTGTCATGTTTAGTCGGGGTTGTTGATAAATGTCGACTAATAAGGTTCAAATGATCGTGACTTGAGGTAAATGTAACTTCAAATATGAAAAAGCCAAAGGGAAGTGAGTGAGTAGCCCGGCTTTGAGATGTAAGTAAGAGACTGGTTCGGAGGTAGCTGTGGTCGATGGCTTCGGTAATGGAAGATAAAGCTAGCCAAATAGAACGAAGCTTGTTGACGAGACGTTTGGTCAATTAAGTTCAGTCTGTAGCAAGGAGGAATATGACAGAAGAACAGAAATAGAAGAAAATTGAACCCTGACAATTACAGAAACCTCTAGCAGTATAAAGGACTGGACCTATACAAAAGCGGGAAATATCCTGGCTTAAATCACCATGCTTCTTGCAGGAATATTGCTTTTGTAAAGCCCAGAATTGATTTTCTCTTTCAAGATCATAGTACCGCATTAACCATGACGTGGTCCATGCAGACATTCTTGTGATTCCTTGTCAACCGCGGAGTACATCCGTGCCTGCAGGAAGCGAATTGCAAGAAGCAAGGCATCATCAGACTAAAGAGCTGCATGAGCCCATGCTGCCCCCAGTCCCGGATGTGCCTCCACTTTCCATGCTGCACTTATGTAGCATTTCCTATATCAACCTCCAACATCCCAACTAAATAAATAATATTCCTGCCGTCGGCACTCAGCTCCATTGTAAGCTTTTATTTCCGACGTATTTGGCGATTGTACCGGCGATGCAAACTCCCAAAAGGGACCAAGGGTTTAAAACGTCTTGCAAAGGTATTTCACGTGATGAAAACTGCATGTTTGAGATATGTGACAGATCGGCTAAGTTGAACTAGATGTCTCAATTGCAGGCCACGCGCCTTGATCCGATTACACACGACTTCGAGGAGCTGAGATCTGATGAACCAAGGAGGTTCGTCGCCAGTGAGAACTCATGTTCAAGGATATACCCTGGCAAGATCTACCAAGGGGGTCTATAGTTGGTGAGTGGCGCACCTTCAGGGAGTCGTCTTGCTGCGTATATAACTTGGGCCTTTCGAGTCGCGGGGCTTTCTAAAAAGGAATTACCAATCACAGGATTTTGAATCTTGGCTTGCCGAGCTCTTCCTGCTATTCGGGGCACGGTACATCAAACGACCTGAAAGTAGTGTCGCATTGACCGTGCATACACGTATCCCAGCAATCGTTTCCTTTACATGGACATAATGTTAAACCGGTACCTGAAACTAGAGCGATTGAGCCACAGCAATACTATTATGCCTCTATCTTTTACCACTATTCAATGGTTTGGAGCGTGCAACGATTCAAAGGCTCTGTCGTGGCTCGGGATCGCCACCTAAAGTAGAGGAGGAGAGCAGACTTGACAAATGAATCAGAAGCGCCAGCTCTGCTAGTGTAATTGTTTCATCTCTGGTCTCATTTAGTGTACGATTATTCCCGGCGCCGTAGACAATTGGGCATGGCACAGTGCCAGAGATAGGGCTTGCGCCAGTGGACTCAGAACAGGGGCGACCCCTCCTTGTTTAGTGCAAATGACGGGGCTGCACAAGGCTTGTCCCTGTCAGCATGCGGGGTGCCCTTTTTGGCGTGTTCACCGGGATTCCTTCCGGGTAATTGTCTCGCTTACATGCTGCAGACGAGAAGAGTTGCGATAAGGATGACGAGGGTGACAATGCACCAACGTGCCGCGTGACTGGTGATATGTACAGCAAAAATACCGGCATCTTCCTATTCGTCGTGGGAAATCATGCTAAATAGAACTTGTTCTGCCAAAATCACTCACAGGTGACAGGCACAAATTTGCAGTCATCCAACGAGTTGACTGTCTGCTAATGTCGTCAAATTCGTCGTCATCAGGCGCCAAGCTTGACGGCAAGCTCCGTACGGGATTCAAAGTAATAATTAAGAGCACTGATCTTGCTAATGGTAGAGTTTGTGATGAAAAGGACCAGGAGTATAGCGGTTGGCAGTTGATAGAGGAAGGGGATTTATCCGTATTCTGATGAGAGGTGACGATCGCCAACCAGAATGAGGTGATGCTGTTGGCGCTAAAGCCGAACTACTAAACTTGGCGGGCCATGGGGAAAATAAAAAACGACCCCCAAATCGGTGGATCACCGGCGAATTTTGGTGCAAGTCAAACTCGACAAGGGTCGTGTATTCCATAGCAAGAATTCTCATCATTAAACATTCCGGGATCAGAGTGTCCATTGCTTTTTCCTTTAGCGCCAATCTTTGCCTTGACTGAGTGCTGAAATGGCCGGCAAGCACGGTACGTGCCCGTAGCTCGTCTTGACCGACACCGAGCTCGTGACACCCACTTTCAATTGCTCACGTTGCCACAGTACACTCAGGCTGGCGAGGAGAGGCGGATGAATGGCAATGATGATCAACTGGCCACTCGGCCCAGACGCCGTCAAGCCTGACTATGTATACATTGTACACACTGTTCGAGAAATAGTCGATGTTCAAAGCGTATTGAAGGCAGGTGAGAAATTGGCCAATTATAATCGCTGATAAGCGCTGAGTTTCCTGTTCGGATCATAACCTCTGATTTGAAAGACAGAATCACCAGCACCGTGGAAGACCGGCGGTGCATTTCCGTTCGGATGTTTCTACGCAGCAGAATGAAAGGTTGTTCATCGGTTTCACAGAAGGTTTGTCATTTTTCCCATGCTTCATAGAAGTCAATACAATTTGGAGGAATTCTTGTCTCCCAATTCTTTTGTCCTTGGCTGTGCGACGGAGCCCACGGAAGCTAACGACGATAACCTATTCGTACCGAGATTTGGACTATTCCAGAGCTAGCGGGTGTCGAACAAGTGCCCCGTCGCCTTTACGGAAGTGATCTTGGTTTAGTGGAGAGTGCTAGCCCCGCCTGCTGTTAGCCGATATACTCTGCCAAGAGGATCCCACGATGCGACAACCTGGAATTTATAGCGGCCGACTGCCATGTCCACGTAGTCAGAAGTGATGCCACCGCACCTTCTACTGCCCATAGGAAGCCTCAAGATTGTCAAACGTGATGACTGAAGGCTGTACCCATGCTTCAGCTTGGACATCCGCTATCAGCCGTTCGCATCGCTACTTGAGCCAATATTGGCCTCCTGGCTCACTTTCTTGCGCGCCTTACTCCAGACCGAACTAAACCATAGGGTTCTGGTATCAGAATGTCTGCAGCAAGCGGTGAGATTTCACAGATCCTAGACACCATGATGCCTCATGTTACCGATTTAAAGTCCTTTGACCCCTGTGCTGCCACTGCGTCTATGTTTTTGTACGCCCAGGATTCATCCATTGTTTGCTGTCACCATGATACTCTTACGATTGAACGAAAGTTTTCTCAACACGCTGATGAGGTTCAATTGTTAGCGGTCGATAACCAGAGTGAGGCTGGTGGTGGCCGTTTCGTTGTTAGTTATGATGCTGGCAAAACAGCAATTATGTGGGATCTGATGACAGGCGATGAGATCTCTCGATTGGCCTTTTATGATCATCTAACTGTCGCAGCATGGATGAAAAATGGCAATGTGGCTTTCGGTCAGTTATTGGGATAAGTTTATCATGGTCATGACTAACGACTTGAAGGCAACGCAAAGGGAAACATTATCATGTTTGAGCCATCAACATCTGAACATGTTTCCTCAAGGACTATTGACCAAATTGCAGTGACTGCATTGGCACCATCAGCTGATTGTCGAACATTTGCCATCGGGTGAGTTACTGTCCTCCTCTTACTCAAATCTCACTAACACAGTCTCAGCTATCAGAATGGCTCTCTGTTTGTTGCAACCTTGCAACCACGCTTCACTATCTTACACAATCTTACCACCTCCAGAGGACCGTCACCTATCGTGAATCTCGAATGGCATGCTTCCTCGTCTCAGCAAGAGTCGGGCATGCTTGCTGTCCAGATGCGTGATGGGGACTTGCAAGTCTGGAGTGTGGCAAAGAAATATAGCGTTGATGGCCCTGCAAAGGTGGTTCGAAACCTCAAGAAGGCTGAGATCTCCATGGACAGACCCAACTGGATGGGATGGTCCAAGAACGGTCGCATAATCCAGTACTCCGACTCGTAAGTTTGCAGCTTGCCTCCCCATAAAACGCCCTAGGCTACGCGCGCACTTAGCTGCATGACCCTATCATCAACTAACATCTGCACAGGCAAACACAGTCATGGGATGTTAGGACAAAGCACGTCACTCACGATCCCATCCCGACTCTTGACCTTGTTCGCGGCCTTGCCGTCTATGGCCCGGGTGCCACGTTGTTCACCCTTGGCCCCAATAACACCGTGCAGCAATTCGACCTGAACTCACCGGCCATCATGGTCGCCAATGTCCAACACCCAGCAAACCTATTGCCACCCTCGCCCCCAGTCTCAGAAGAAACTGGTGATCGATCAGCGACCTCGGCTACTACTATCGCCTCCGAATCTGAGACGAGCTCTATCCCCCTGGACATGAACATTTCCGAGAGTGACGAGGATCACTTATCACCATTCGCTCGCCTAACTCGACGCCAACCTTACGACTCTGGCAATGCGCCCTACGAATCCGCCAGTCCTGTCTCCAGCCGAAGTGGGCTCTCATCCTTATCTAAGTCCTCAGCTGGGCCATCTCAAACTCCTGGCCGCTATCCTGGATCCATGAGGTCAAGAGGACTGTCAGAAAACACATATATCTCGGCTGGAACCTCAATCAGGTCATCAACTATTGGCAACAGTGCTCATGGCAACACAAGAGATTTGGACACTTACTCCATGGGATACTCTCTTGGCACTACAAGTGTTTCTTCCATGCTCTCAAGCCGATCAAGAAGAAGACCTTCTCGCCTGCGCAATGAAGTTCCCCGTAGCCCTGACGACAACAAGGTGCACGACCTATTCAAGTTTACTCGAGCGCGTCTCAGTGATATTCCTTACAAGCATGCTATGGGTGCCAACAGTGCTCGCCTCACCAATGATGATCTGCGTCGTCAAATGCTCAACACCATCTTCG